GAAGTGCTGTCTTCAGACGTTTAGTGTGTTAATATTGGTTAGATGCCCACTAAGCCACTCTGTCACTTCTCCTTCTTAACTGGACAAGGGAGAGAAAATAAGATAGAGAACAGCTCATAGGTTGAGATAAGGCAGTTTACTAAAGCAAAAGCATGCACAAGCAATGAAAAAACCCAAAGGTTTTATTCCTTACTTCCCATCAGCAAGTGATGTTCAGACATTCTCAGAAAGCAGTAGTACAGGTAGTGGTTGCTCTGGAAGGCAAGTGGAAATAACAAATGACCTTCCTTCTTCCTCCTTTTCTTTGCTTTTATATCTGAGCTTGTATATATGACCAATGTCATATGGTATGGAATACCCCTTTGGTCATTTTAGACCAGTAGTCCTAGCTGTGTCCCCTGCCCAGCCTACTGGTGAGGTGGGAATGTTGGAGGTGCTGTGCCAGCACTGCTCAGTAGTGGCCAGGACACTGGTGTGTTATCAACAATTTTCTAGCTACTGGTGCAAAGCACAGCACTGTGAGCAAGGGCTGTCCTATCCATCTCAGCCAGACCTAACACAAGATGTGAACTCTGTAGGCTCAGCAGCACTTTCACATTCGGCTCCAGATATTAGGACATTCAACTCTGTTGACCTAGTGTGGTGACAAGCTCCCTGTCAAGTTCCCAGCTTTTCTCTATCCCCTCTTTCCAACTGATATCTTTTCTCAGAATCTGGGAAGATGTAAATAAGGGAATAGATGCTGTTGCCGAGAAAAAGCAAGAAGATAGTTCCAAAGCCCCTTACATTTCCCTAGGACACCTTTAACCACTTTGGCCAACTCATACTATGTGCACAGACATCTTTTCAAGGTCACAGTGCCTCAAAAATACCCGCGCTCATACCATGCCAACACAACCACTTGATTTCTTGGCTACATCACTGAGGAAAAACTTGAACTAGTGACTTCTCTGTCATGTGCAATATAGGCCAAACATGCCCTTAAAAATCCAAAACATTGTCATCAAACTCTAGAGACTGTTATGTTCTGTGGTCTGTGGCCCTGGTCTGGGAAATTTATGACCTAGGCTCAGCTTCGTGTTCTGCCAAATTCAGTGTGAAAACTCCTCAGAATAGAGCATACCCAGCAGGCTACACTGAGTATCAAAACAACTGCTTTAATGCTATTTTGTTTCTGCAGTTCTTTGAAAGGCTTTTTATGTGCTCAGAGCAGGGCAACAAGTTTCAAAACCCGAAAAAAATGATTTTCTATCTTCCCATCAGTTCTAATTATGTGACCCTTCTCAAAACAGGTTCTTTCCTTCTCAGAAGCCCTGGTAGTGGCTAAAGACATGAAAACTAATTTTCCCACATAGCTAATTCTATTGCTGAAAGACTCTGATTCACTTTCAGTAATTTCCACTTGATTCTACATATCCCCTGCTGAATAAATAAGCAAAGGAGGTATCTGCCATGTTAAAAGCTTTTCTATATCTCTTTCCTTATTTACAGGGATATGGAATTAGTGTAACATTTGCCTTTCTCAGATATAAAAATCTGAGCCAGATTTGCAAGTTGCCTTGTTTTTACTCATTTTTATAGGAAAAAAAATCTTAAAACTCATTCTATGGGTGTAAATTTCACTGTTAAGTGCAGATGAAAGCACATTATGAGATTTCCCAGTGTATTTTACTCTTCTTACCTGATTCCCCTGGGTCTTTTGAATGCATGTATTGCATTCATAATTTCTAAAAATCGTTCCTTTGAAAGTTTGCTTAGGTTTCCTCTTTCTTTTAATATATTAAAGTTGTTTGGTTTGGAGTTTTTTAATTACCCACATGCCAATGTGTACTATGAGTGTACAAAAAGCTCTATCAACTTTCTGTTTGCAATTTTATTCGGAGATGGTTGTTCCCAAAGCTATCCTGAAATTTCTCCCTCAAGACTAAACAAAATTTTCTCGTTAGGTATAGAAGAGTATTGGTTCTTATCCAAAATTAAATATTCCCAGGAGAAATACTGTCTCATATTCAGAATACTGTATTTTATCATCTTAAGAGAAAGGCTCTTAAGGCTTTCAGTATCTCTTCTAGCTCATATTGTAAAAAGATAAGCTTTAGGACTTAGCCATGAAGCTGGGTTTCATAGAATCACAGAATACCCCGTCAAAGGGGACCTGCCTTTTGCCTGTAACCATTTATTCTATTCCGTGCATCCTCAAACACTTCCTCAAGTACTGAACTTTAGGCAGGAGGAGGTAACGTTCCTTTGCTGAGGATCAACCTGCCAGGAAAGAGACCAACCAGCAAGGCAGGTTGGCCTTGGGCCTCTTGTGGGGTGGGCACACTTGGTATGGCAGTGGAGCAGTATCTTACATCCTACTTTCTGTAATAGAAATTGTTTCCCACTTTTATAAGTGAGGGATATTTCCCCTTATTTCCAACTAACTAAAGTCGTGGGATAGTAGAAGTAACTTTTAAGGGGAAAAATTGTCCCCATTTTCTAGAAGGATCACAATAAAATCACTGTCTTCTATTTCTTAGGCATCTGTTCACACATCATTTAAAAAAAAAAAAAGCAACGGTATATCTACAGCAGAAAAATGCAAGCATAATCTTTAGTAAGTTCTAAAGCCATTATGGTTAAGCTGCAGACATACACATCTCAATCACACTATCTTTTAGTGAAATGAGCTAAGCTTTCCTTCACTGTAGGAACAGATAAAGAGTACTGTGCTTTTCCTTTGTTGTTAAATCGTACCTAAAACTGTAAAATAACACATTGAAATAAGTTATATCTATTCTTGAATTATTTAAAAAAATCTGTGTTAAAGAAACTGGCCTCCACGGGCCTGTAAGTTTGGTGCTGACATGACTCTTTTATATGGCCCATTCAAAATAGATAATAAAAGAAAGTAGCTCTTTTTCTCTGTTGGAGATACTTGAAAAACATAATTTTAAAATACCTTCAAGCTTTAACCCTTGAGGAAATTTCTTTCTAACATTGTATTATTTCAGCCATATAGACTTTTGTTCCAACTGTTGCAGACCAAAGTATTAAGGAAAGCTGTTGAACCTCAACTTCTCCTTTCTCCCGCACACTTTGAAAATAGAACACTTCTAAATAAGTGACCATTGCCAATCTGAGCCAGAGGGCAGCATTCACCACTTTATGGTACACTGCAACTTCTGATGAATCTCAGCTACTTTTTAACTCCTCTTTTTCTGTACAGTACCAATCAATGCATTTAAAAATGGCTTGCCTCATATGGCCTATTGCAGAATTGTTAAATGAATAAATGACATTGCCATTAACGTTCAGTTATAAATACATTTGAATTTTAAACTGAACATATGCTACTTCTCTGCTTGAAACTACCAGCTTTTTCTTGCAAAAACTATGCCAGAGACCCAGGCGTCCCATAGTAATAAAATTTAGGATTGAGGATGTCAAAGCTCTTTAAAGATGGTATCACTGTCCGAATTTGATTCATTAGATACTAAAGAAGTTTCTTACTTGAGGCTGCACAGTGATCAAAACTGATACAAGAATAGAGCTCCTCTGTCTTAGCTGTGATCTTGATTTAGTTCCTCCTTTACTACTCTGGGTATCAATTTCAAAATAAGCTTTTATTTGTTGGTTTGATTTTTTGTTGTGAAGTGGTTGTTCATTTTGTTTCCTATTATAATATTAAATGTCTTCTATCTCAGCTTAAATTCTAATTTCTACAGCCAATTTAGGCTGGAGGATTCCTTGAATACTCAGTTATTTGTAACTCCAGTTTCACACTCTCCTTCCCCATAACCATTACATGATAATTTTCTCCAAAAATAATATTTTTGATCAGATCAGGAAGATATTTCTTGGTTTCAAAACACATGCAAATCACTTATTTAAGAGAGAGCCAGAGATAAGATAAACAAGTTAAAAGAAAAAAAAGTAATGAAATATTTGTCTGCTTAATTTGGGCAAAGAATAAGTCTGGAGTTTTTATTGAATATCAGGAGTGAGCTGAAGAGAATGTAAGAGAGGGAGGTGGATCAAAGATTATGTAGGGATGGGGACACTTTGCTCTTAGTTCAGTTTGTGGAAATATATGCTTAGCCATAAATCCAAATCCTGGAGTAACTTTGGTAAATCCGGTGGGAACTTGCTTGCATTACCTGTGTTGATTTCCAATGAATGTCTCCAGATTTGAATGAAGATAGATAGCAGAAAGTAAAGCTTGACCAGAATTTCCCAGATGATGATGAGAAGGTTTTAACTGCATTTTGTTTCACAGTAAGTGATGAGGGAGTTTTTATCTGCAGTGACTAAGATCAGTTTGAAACCATTTGCAGCTGAGTACTGGCCATCACTTTGAAATTTAAGAGAAACCAAACATGTTTCAGGAGATTTATTTCAATCACAGTTCGAAAACAATGGGGTCCCATGGCAAGCTGGGAGTCTGCTCCTTCTAAAGGAGCACATGCCACTTCAAGGAAAAAAAAGCATGAAAGGAATCAGTGGTGTGCAAATCAAAATAACCCCTTTGTCTTTCTCTCTGGATCCATGCTTGGGGAAGAATAGAGTGTAGGGGAAGAATTCAGACCTGTCTTTGTTCAGTCTCTAAAGGCAACTACTTTCTCTCTGGATGAGAAAGAAATTTAGTTTTAATGGGGGTGGGAGCCTTCCTTTATTTTTATGATCAATACAGGCAGTTGGCAAAAATGCTCTCTTCAAATAACTAATTATTGAAGATTAGTAATTAATTGGTTTGGGTTTGGTGCTTTGGTTGGGATTTTTTTTGTTTGTTTTTTTATTGCTGCCCTTCCTCTGCTACATAAAATTCATCGGTTTTTCACCTGCTCTCAACCACCAAACTGAGGTTCTGTATTCATTCTGTCCTCTGCTTTTTTGTTAGATAAATATTGATTCATTTCTGATGAGGAGTGTGATTAAATGTGTTGTGTTTTACTTTTTTTAATGCTTGTAATGTTTGTATCTTCAATACACAAATATTGTGTGCTTTTGTTTTGCAGGTGATAATACTCCAGTGACACCACCTTACCTGAAGCTGGGCAGAATGAAACCTAATCTTGGGTAAGAGACCTAGAAGTGATTGGAGGCGCTACTGTGATAAACATAATTTGCTGGCTTCTTCCTTGCTGTTTCCTTTCATCCTTTCCTTAAGGCATTGCTGATGAAGTTGAGCTGAAGGTAGGGCCCTCTAAATTTTTCATGTGCATTTATCCCCTGAATTAATGTTATCTTTGGCAATTTTCACCAGTTATTCAATGCAGTGCTGCCTGTCTGCCCTCTGAGCTTTCAGGCTAGCTCAGGACCCAGGCTCAGATCACAAAATTGCAGCATGACATGCTGCCACTTAAGCACTTAATTATACCTAAGGAGACAAGGATCCACATTGTACCCTTTACAATAGAGCCACAAGAAAAAACAAAGTCCCAGTGCCTTCCTAACCAGAGGGATCTTTGCCAGCACCAGGTGGTGGGAAGTATGAGGAAGTGAGTGGGGTGACTCCTGGCACTCCTGTGCAGCCACAGTCACAAGATTTTAAAAAATGCTGTTTTTGAGAGAGAGGCTGGTAGCATTTGGTGTCAAGGGGCTGAAAAGCTTTGTAGTCATTCCTGATGAACCATTTTCAGTGCTGCCCCTCCTACTTAGAGGATTTTGTTTACCTGGCTACTGGGGTCTCACATCCAAGTTTTGATAAGTGATTATCTTCCTGCTTGCCTCTGTTTATTCTGTATCTGCCTCTCTGGAAGTCAAAGTCTGGAAGGGTGCAACCAATTATCAGTTATGCTATTAAGATTTTTCTGTCTAGTAGAGCTAATTTCTCCTGGAGTTCTACCAGTGGTCTAATTTAATTACCTTGTTTCAAATCCAGTTTTATTGGGAAGTGCGGAGGAATACAGAACCATGAAATTCATCTATTTGCATAAACGTATACTGTGTTTGTTTTACATCATCAGTGATATCTGTACCCAGCTTCTCTTTTCTAGTAATGAGGGACATTCACTAAGTCATTGGGCAGAGGCAACTAGTTTAATGGCAAATGTCAGTCTAGCAGAGTTTCTGAGCATTGAGACTTCATGTAAGTTACAATACTACTTGCTTTCCTTTGAATACAAACACCATTGTGCTGTAACCTCATCTTAAAGACTTTTCTGTTCTCTTACTAGAAGGAAACCTGCCTTTGGATAAGTTTATTTGTAAGATCAAAGTATGTTATATAAAATAATGTGCTAGATAGGTGTAGCTGAAATGAATTGCTAGAATGTTTAGAGTGGATGAAAATCTGTGTTCTATACAGCCACTGACTGGTGTAGAAGGTTGAGGCATTGTGATATGCTCTCCTATGTCTCTAGTTTGAATTTATAGGAGAATAATAGCACCACACTTGATGGCATACCGTAGTGGGACACCAAAGTCATGCTGCAAGGTGTTTAAGGCAGTAATAGAAAACTATCATTCTAAAGTGGAAAAGTGAGTAGTCAGTGCTTAGGACTTTCCCTAGCACTGATTTTGTTGTAGGTTACTTGACAAAATCTCATCCTTTTAACTATTGAAAAAAACATTATATGAAACAAGTATCATCTTCAAGAAAATGTATCTATCATGCGTTTGAAGAAGGTTTGCTTTGTATTCTACAGAAGCTGGACATGCAAATGGAGTATTTGCTTATAAATTCTTACGGTCATTGAAGAGATTTTACCTAATTCTTTCATTTTAAATGAAAAAACTATGACAAAGACAAAGATTTTAAGCCGATGATTGGGATCCAAAGGACAGATAATGCAGACTCCAACTGCGTTTGTAATAGTTCAATTCTGTAAGTGAAATATGTTCTCTGTCTAGAAAAAGAATGAGAATATGAAAGATGTTGTGTCAGTGATTCTTCAGATTTTCATTCTATTGATCAGAGTTGAAGAAAATGTATTTCCATACACATATCTCCTTTTTTCAAATTTCCAGTCTCAGTTCTTTGTGTGCTTCATGGACAGGCTGTATACAATTATGCCTTCCTGTAAAACAAGATAAAATAATATAATCCCATTGCATTGTCACAGACATAAAGCGTATGGTAACTTATTGTTTTAGTTGATCAGCAGGGTGGCCTGAAAAATGAATTCCCATCTCCTGGCTTTGGCTTATCTTCTGATTCCTGAGAAACACAACAAAGAAAAATAACAATAATAGTAGAAGTAGTATTTTTGCTTTCGTTTGATGTGAATATTGCAATGGTGGAGTCTCATGACGGAAAGGACCAATAATTGTGTGTACTACCAGAACATCAATGGCATCACATGCTGTACTGTGACTCTGTTGAAATGTTGGACTTGTATGATAATAACTACACAGTTTAATAACAGTAATGAAATCACATTGAGTATGCAATCACCTCTGGTTATAATTGGTACCACACCTAAAGGTAAATTAGGTCTACTCAAGTATTAAATACAAGAAGCATAAGTTTCTTTCCTAAACAACTCACATTTTTAGTATTTTCATTTCTGGAATGTGCCACTCCTGTCAATTATTGCAGACATTTCACTGAAAGAGACAGAGGCTCTGAATCTCATCTGAAAAGCTTTCATTATGTATCCAAGAAGAGCAGTCAAATCATCAAAATATTATTTTCTCAGAAATAAAAAATAGGCAGCTTCTGCACTTTGTATGTTTGATTTATTGAGAATGGTTGTCCTCTCTTGGTTTGAGCAACCTGAAAGGAAACACACAGCATGTCCTGCATTGTATCTTGCTTTGCATGAAAACACTGCCCAGCTTCCAGACAGGGTTTTAGCTGAGGCCGTAGTGGTTAATTTTGTTACAAGAGTCTCACTCACATTACTGATACTGGAGAATTAAGAGAGGTTGTTCTCTGTACGCTTTTTTCCCTGTTGTACTGTGAAAGAAAAGTGAATTTCACAGGTACAAAATGTATTCGCCCACCTCTTTTTTGCACCCCGGAGACAGACTACTGCACAAATCACTGTACAAAACCCCTCTGAGCCACGTTCAGGAGGTTCTGAATGCCTGTGCTTGGACTAAGGCTCTGCATCTTTATTAGCAATTCTTGTTAAACACCCTAAATTTTGTGGTGGGTATCACAAGGTAGGATCATTCCGAGAACTTGCATAGCGCATCACAGTATTGTCCTTCAAAGTCTTCACAGTACCAGCCTCTTCCCCTCCTCCACCCTTCAGTAAGCACCATAGAGGGGCTGCCTCTAGGAAGGGCTTTAAAGATCAGCCTCGCTGCCGTTCTTTAGCGGAGGGGGGGTCTTGTGCCCTTCTGAGGCCACTGAGAAACAGCAAAAGCTATATTCCTGAGCCTGTAATAGATGTAAATTGTGCAGATGAAGGAGAGGAAGCTCTAACAGCCGTTGAATGCAATCTGTGAACACTACTGTTTCATTTATAGTGATGCTACCTAGGCATTTGCACTTAAAAGGAACAATAAAGAGGTGTCAGAACAATCGCAAGGCTGCAGAATTTAAACTGCGGCAAAGACGTTTTCAGCCATGTGAAATGTTGCCTGCAAAAGATCTGCTTTTTCCGTTAGTTTTTGTTATTACTGAAGGCTGTTCTAGTTCTCCTTGTTTTATGACACCGACTGGTTCATTTGCCTTCAAAGACTCAAGATGCAAAGAGTCAGGGAAACAAATTAAGTCAAAACTGCAATGGCTGGTGAAAACTGCACGAAGATTGTCGCAGCTGCTCTTTATTTGTCTATTTAGTTTTGAAGTAGCTTTGCTGTACAACTAGATGGCTGATTCACTAACTTGCAAGCTGCCTCTAGCAGGCAGCAGTAGAGTTGCTGTAATGTTTTAGTGATATTCTTGCTTGCAGGACAAAAGGCTCATCCTCAATTGATGCAACCTTTGGAGGTATGCATATTACCCTGCTGAGGATCTGAACTGCTATTGCCTTTTAGTCTTTTTATTTGAAATAGAGAACAGGTTTTGAAATAGAGAAGATGAGAAATTGCACACTAAAAAATTAAATGAAAATCTAGTGGCTGTCAAACAACAGTTACTGATTAACAAAGAATGAGGGGTTTGCATATAGTGTCCCGTTAAAAGCACAATAAGCTGTGATTGTGTGCTGAGATTATGATTATCTGAAAGCACTTGCTACTTACTGCCTGCAAATGTGAAAGCTATGTGTGCCGAGGAAAAACAAGGAAACAGAGGATTTGTTGTACCACAATAGGTGTATTCAAAGTGCCCTAATCCTACTGAATATGAGTGAATACCGCTTGAAAGGGAATATGGAGTTTAAAAAAGGAATATATATCGTTTATGCAAAAAAAAATTGGAGTAAAGCTGTATAAATTTTAGGATATGATTGCCTTTGTAGCTACAGCAGATTAAGATACATTAGAAGACCTGTTGTCATTCTGTATCTTCTATACTTCCTACGAGATACTATTATCTGATTTTTATTAATATCAGTCATTTGAATTCCATTAGTGTTCAGAGACCCTGCTTTAGACTCAGCCCTAGTAATGCAGCTGTATCACAGACAACTGCCAGTTTAAATAGACAGGATAGGCAATTAGCAGGCAAATGTCCCACAACAAAAGAAGATCAAATTACCTAAGACCTTGTCATATCTTAATGTTCGTTTTTTGGGTTTTTTTTACATACCTCAGTAAAATGAGTAATCTATAAAAATAAGAACATGCTGTTCTCATATTTTGGAAAAGTTCTAGGAAAACTAATGATAGTAATATGGTCTCAAAACCTTTTTTTCTATATAAGTTCAAGGTGATGATGTTTTTCATATAATCTGAATTTAAACTGGGTGAGTCTCTTGAATCTTTAGCTTTTAGTGAGGAATGTATTTCCCAGGGAAATGCAGGAGGGGCAGCAAGACTGTTTGTTGTAATAGTTCTGTGTGTGGGTCTGGACATGTGAGTGAACAAGAGATCAGCAGGGCAAAACGTGCCCTAAATGCTGTAAAGTCTTATACAATTGTGTCAGGCAGTAAACCCAAATGAACTTGCAAAGTCATGCACTAGTTCAATTTTGGAAAGGAAAACCTGGCTTTGAAGCCAACCAAATCAATCCCTAGTTCAAATTAAATTTGGAGTATCCTGTGAAGCTCCAATACACAACTCCAATAACAATCAACACTTAAGGTGCAGGCAAATAATGTTTCATTTAAAAGAAATTGAATAAGGATTACTGACAGAGAAAGTTTTTGATTCTGTTTTGTCATTAAAGTCAAATTATAGCATTATTGTCTTAATCCCATATGTCTCAAACATCTCTCTCTCCTTCTGTCTGTCTTTAATGCACAAAAAGCCCTGTGCATGGTTGGTCTT